AAATTATTGTGGTCCGCTGGCGGCCTGCGGAGCTTGCAGCAGCATTGGACAGTGAGGAGGTTGGGGAGGATCATGGGCCAGTCCTGAGGGCTGAGGAAAGCTCAGATGAGGGCTGTGTCAGAGACAGAGAGGGAGCTAGACAGCAGCGAGGCAGAGGAACAGCTGGAGCCTGTTCCCAGTGTGAGCATGCACAGAGCTGCCAGAGGACAAGAACAACTAAGGAAGCAGGACTGACTCAAGAGTAAAGCCACACCTTGAAGGTGATTGGCCCCTCCCATGGGAAACAAAAGAGGAACAAATGGGGAGTGGGCTTTTGCAGGAAACAATTCATTCACCGGTCTGGAAAGTTCAGTTTGTGAGAAACTCTGTGCCAAGTTTTGCTTTGCTTTGTGTTTGAACACTAGTTATCTGGCAGCGTTCTAAATGAGATAAGGTGCGTGTGCATAAACATTCCTCTGAAAGACTGTTTGCTAAAGCCTTGCTGACTGTGAATGAAAGGCATTCATAGTCGTGTAAATAAAAGAGGTTTTGTTGGGACTAAGACTTTGCTTTTGCTTACTAGGGAAGCCTGGGGTCAGAACAAAAATAGGCAAGCCACAATGTTTGCACAAATTGTATGCAGCCACTTTCATTTTGCTTTGAGAGGCTATTTCTGACTACTACAGCTACTACTCCATGTGGATAAGAAGCTAAGTTCCCTAGGGCTCACATAGGCCTTAGTGAGACTTCCAGAGCCCTTGTGCTCCTCGGCCCAGAAGGACGAGTGAATCTCCTGGCGAATGAGTCAAAGCAGCATGCAGTGAGGAGAAAGAGCAGAGCCCAGAGAACAAGAAGTCATGTCCACATGTATTTATATGCACAAACTGCCAGCCTTGGCGTAGGTTGGCTGGACACCCTTTAAAAACAGGCTTGGCTTTCCCACTTCTCTGGAACAAAAACTGGCATTCTTTGAAAGTTATTCCAATTCCCCAGCCCTCTCCCTTCACCAGTCCCAGGGGGGAAGCGGAGGAGAGCAGCGGGCACTCACTTTCTGCTGCCACAGCATCGCCTCGCTCTCCTTCTTCTGTTGCGCACATTCCAGCTGCGAGATCCGGGTGGTGAGCTCCAACATCTCGGTGGTCTGCAAGGAGAATAGAGCAGCCCAGTCAAAACTCTGTAAGCTTAGAAAGCCTGGCGACCTCAGGGTCAAAGCCACCTTCCCCAGCCTCTGAAGTCACCAGCTGCGTCTGGAAGGGCCCTTTTGGGGGGCTTCTCCACCATCAGGAGTTCCAGTGAGACTAGTGAAAGTCCCCCACCCTATTTTCCACTCCTATTTTAATATTGTCCAGATTAGCTGCTAAATCATAGCCACTGGGGGAAAAGACAATTTCCTGCATCTCCCTTCATTTCTTTTCCCTGCTCCTACTTACAAGGCTCCTTCTGTGTTTGCTCAGCTAACCTCTGAACAGACCTGCCTTATAAGTCTATGAGAGGGCCAAAGTGGAGAGGAAGGGTGGGAGTGGGAGAGACTGGGGGGGGGGGTCTTAGCATGGCATTGTCCAAATACGTGGGGGTGGGAATTGGTAGGATTTGGGGTTCCCATCCCAGTGTTTCTGGAGACAGCATCACCACCGGATGAATTTGTAACTGACTGACCAACCACAATTAACACGTAGTCCTCCATGGAGCTGCTTCAACATGGAGGAAAGTATGTACTGGGGCATCCCAAAGTTAGGTCCAGGACTCTTCAATGTCTTTATAAATGATTTAGATGAGGGGATAGAAGGGAACTCACCAAATTTGCAGGTGACACAAGCTAGGTGGAATAGCCAACACTTTAGAACAGGGCTGCCAAACTCGATTTTATTAAGGCTGCATCAGGGTTGTGTTTGACCTCGGGGTTTGTGTGTGGTGGGCGTGACCAGGGATGTGTGGCCAGCATGATGTCACTTGTGTCAGGGGGGGCACTTGTGGTGGCCCATGTTCTCTGCCAGCGAAAACAGGCTCCTGAGCTTTGTTTTCAGCTGGGACGGCCTCCTGCAACCCCTTTCCAGCAAAAACGGAGCTGGGGGTGGGGGGTACACGTGTGGTTCTCGCAAGCTCTGTTTTCGGCTGGGATGGCTTCCT